TCCTAGTCGTCGCAGCCTCTCATGGTAGGACCGATTGCGCATTCCAATTACGTTCTTAGATGCCCGGCGTTGTGGCTGCTCCAGTGCATTAAGGTCGTGTTTCAGTCATGGATGCCAGGCTTGAATTGCATATTCGACATGGAGGCGAACATACGCACTGAGCATTTGTCGAAATATGGAGCTGTTTATTTGTCCAAACGCCCGCCTCAACAGCCCAACGTGTTGGTTCCCGGTCTTCGAGGCATTTTCGGATTGCCTGGAGCAACCCAAGTCATCTTGAACCAGGACACCCAAGTCACGTTCGAGAGTTGATTGTTGCAGTACATCCGTGCCGAGTCGGGATGAGTAGCTGCCGTGATGTCGGATGGAAAGCACCTTGCATTTACTGACGTTGAAATGTAATAAGTTTTGGGTCGACCATTGATACACCGTATCTAAATCAATCTGAAGCACATATTGATAGGCGTTCGTCTGGATCCTGCGCCAGATCTTGATATCGTCGGCAAACATTAGGAAGTTTGAAGCGATTCCCTGTGCAAGGTCATTAATAAACACCAGAAACAAACGTGGACCTAGAACCGAGCCTAGAAGCACACCGCAATCGACTTGTATGGGGTCCGCTAAAGAGCTCCGAAATCTGATCACTAATTGCCGTTGAAATAGAAAGTTGGCGATCCAGCTTAAAAGAGGGTCTCCGATCCAGAAATGCTGCAGCTTGTATAGTAGTATCCGATGGTCTAGACGATCGAAAGCCTTGGAAAAATCCAGGTAGATCACATCAACACTTTCTCCAGCGTCAGCTGTCTCGGTCCAACTACTACGTGCAATTAGTAAATTAGTTGTACATGACCGCTGTCGACGGAAACCGTGCTGTTCAGGAGTGATGAGGTTGCAGTTTTCCAGATAGCACACCAGTGCATCGGCAACTATGGATTCTGTGACCTTGGAGAGTATAGGAAGAAGGGTTACTGGGCGGTAGTTGGAGGAATCAGATCTGCTTCCACCTCTGTGAATCGGGCTTATTATTCCAAGCTTCCACATGGCGGGAACTTGGTTCTGGTCTAAGCAGTGCTGAAAAAACTGAGCTAAATGTCCTGCCAGTTGGTTCGCTGCTACTCCCAATGCCTCAGGACGAATGGCGTCGACACCCGGCGAGCTGTGTTTTTGTAGAGAACTCAGCTTTTGTAATACAGCCTCTGCGGTAAAATTGATGTGGGTTAGTCCTGGTGAGCAGAATACAAAGCTTGGTAGATCGTTTGGTGACAAGACCCTTTGAAACGTGGGGGCGTATTGCATCTGCAGCGCGTTTGCAGCTTCCATAGACGTTCTTGTTGGGCCATCAGCCGTCTTGAGTGGAGGAAATCCTTGCCTCACCTTTCGTAGGCTATTAACGTGCTTGTACAGCAGTTTGTGGTTAGCATTGAAGGTTTTTGCGATGTTCTGTTGATAGGCGGATTTGTCTTCTCTTAACAGTAGAGTGCAGTGGTTACGTTGGTCTACGTAGTTGTCCCACGTTTCTGGTGTTGGAGCTTCTCTGTACACTCGCCATGCTGCGTTGCGCACTGTCATCCATTTTCGGGTTCTGCTCCTAACGAAAGAAAAGGATTTGCACTTATTGCAAGCTTTTATCTCTGAAGCCTGTGCAATCAGCTGACTGAATGTGTTGACGAACTCGAGCCAGGCGACTTCCGGGGGTTTTTCTTCGAGGAAAGACCATGTTGTGGCACTGACTAGCTGGGCGAGTCGGTCGCACCTTGTGATGGTTCGCACAGTATCATCGTTATCATTCCGATATTCTGCATAGCAGACGAAGTTGAAACTGATGACTGCGTGATCACTGCGACCCAACGGGCAGTCTAAAACCAACGCATCAATCATGTGCTCCTCGTTGGTAAGCACAAGATCCAGCACAGATAGCCTGTTACCAGTTCTGAACCGAGTGGGCAAAGTGGTGTGGTTGTAAAGAGGAACAGTAGTTACTAGATCTTGTAAATCGGTTTTGAATTGTTCGCCGGTTGTGGCAGGGGCTTCTAAACAATGTACGTTGAAACCATCCATGATAAGAATGTGAGTGTACTTTTGTTGTAAACTGCACCTTAAAGCAGCCATTAGGTGGTAGTCGGTTTCGGGTGTTGAGTTAGGGGCGCGGTACACCAAGATAATAAGGCAAGCGTCCCTGCCTTTTAACTGCAACCGGCACCAAAGAGATTCGGGGAACTGCGAATCTGAATCCTCCACGGCCTCGCACTGTAAGTCGTTTCGGTAATACAGGATTACCCCTCCTCCTTTTGTGAGCCTGTCGTTCCGGATCAGCGACATGCCGGGTAGCGACACTTCAGCGTCCGTCATTCCCGTGTGCAACCATGTCTCGGTGATACCAATGACATCATACGAGCCAGAAGCTTGGCGATCTTTCTGTTTAGCCAGTTTGTTAGAAAGTCCCTGAGCATTTGTATACAAGCAGGCCAGTTTCTCGGTCTCTAGGAGCCCGCAGAGAGATGAAGCTGTCAAGTGTGGGAGAATGCCGACCGATGGGAGGTCGGCAGTTATTCGTTTTTTAGATGGGTCAATGATACCTCGTTTGCAACTTGATTCGGCCAAGGTGTGTCCCAGCCTTCGTTTAGACCTACTTCAGTGTCAATTAAAGCAGCAGTCAAGTTACACTTCTGTGCATTCGTCAGGATGCTTGCTGCTTCAGTTGCTTTAATACTTGAGCTGTGCGAATTGTTTGCGACCTTTAACCGAATTTCGGAAGGAAGCTGTTTCCGATTTCTCCGCCATCGATCCAAAACATCCTTTGCTTGTTGCTCTGACTGAACCACTAGTTTTAGGATTCTAGGGCCGCATCCTCTATAATTCGATGAGAGAGGTATACTGGTGAGCGATAGTGCCACAACATCATCCAAAGAAAGTGTTTCACGAATGAACCGCCACTGTTCTAAATCGTGCTTTCCGGTCTCTTGAACATCGTTAGAAGGATGTTCTGGCACGCCATGTATGAAGATTGTGTTTAGGCGGTCTTGCTTGCTGTGCCCCTCTTCGGTGTTTCGTTTTGGTTGTGGCGCGCTCCAAGGGACATCAGGATAGATACGTATCCCACAGGATTAGTTTTTAGCGCTCTTGCGGAGAGCAAAACATTTTCCACGTCGGTGGAGGATTCTAGAGTTACTCGAATAAGTCTGGGTTCACCATAGTGTGGCGAGTTCGGATGACGATTAATTCGTAACAAGTTTATGGGCTTGGCTTTGATACTCATCTGCATACACAATGAGTTCCATTGGTCTTGGTCGTCTGATAAATTATCCCGCAATGTGATGGCGGTAGATTCAGGGACATTTGAGCATACAACAGTCCGGGCACTGTTGTTGGATCCCTTTTTAATCGATCTACGAGGTATGGTACTCATTTGTCTTGACATGTTGACAAGTGATTATTTGCTGTTTTTCTCTCCATTTGCGTTAACGGTGTTTACAATGGAAGAGGACGCAACGGCGGCCTCTCGGTGGACCCGTGTAGCAATCTCTGCATATGTAACCGATGTTCTGGGAGGCTTAGTCTCGACAAGAGATATTTGAGCTACAGGTACCAAGGGTTGGTGTTTGGCTGCTCCATCCTTGTTAATACTAGATGTCAGGTCTAGTGGAATATGCTTAACCAGACGTTTTGAATGGTGCCTGATTTTCTTTGCTGTGAGTACTGCTTGATTCACGTAGGTACAGTCTGTTTTCGCCCGGCGTTCTACCAAAGTTGGAGAAGACAACGGAGATGGAGACATGGCTGATTGCGGTGCATGCGAAGCGATTTGTTCAGCATTCCGTTGCTTAGCAGCCGCTACGCTTCTGTGGTCCATACTCGTTCCCATTGAAGTAATCTCATTGTTTATCCTCTGCTCTGCTTCTGCGATTAACCGGTCGCATTTCTCAGCTAGGATAAGCAAGCACTTAACGAGGAGGATGGTGGAACACGCAGTACAGAACCAAAATGCATCTTGGGAGCTATTTCGCTCCCGTAACTATTGTTGGGACACATTTGCACATTTCGTATGGTACCATGCTAAACAGTGCGAACAAGCCAGACCGATTTTTACTACCCGATGACATTCTCCTAACCCGCAAGTGCCTTTCGATGGGAGTCTCTTCGGTTTCGCCTTTCTGCCATTCAATTTGGTGTCGTTACCTGACCCAGTGGGTTGGTTAGCGTTCTGTACTTTTACAGCTTTGAGAGCGGCGCACATCGGTCAGGCGAGCGTGGTGGTTGCAAGGTCAAATGAGCGGTTGGCGTGGTCGCGCGGTCCGTGTGATGGGTAATGCAGCCGCACTGGCTGACGAGGTCACATGGAATGGCGCGTGACTGCAACCTGAACAGAGCGCTGAACACTGATTCACAGCTGTGTTGAGAAACACTGGATCGGAGTAAGCTTAGGCTTTTCGGCCTGCCTCGAGAATTCTGTATCGAATGGTGTCACACAGAATGGCAATCGGCTCAATACGATCGAATTAAACGCTTGCGCTTAATCACAGATGCCAGTGAAAACGGTTAGTGATGGCACAGCCTCTAATCGTAGAAGATATTTCCACGTATGATGGATCACTGTGTAGAGATGGTAAATCCGGTTCGAATGAGCGTACAGTGACAACGCTGCGAGAAGATGGAGAGGGGATAGAGGGAAATAATCCAAATGAACCAGTAGCACGCACGTCACGCGTGTGTGAGGATGACCTTGATCGAGGCTAGTTCGAAGGTCTGGATCGCACAGTCAACTATGCTTGCCTTGACTGTGTTGCTTTTGGTGGTCACCATTTCTTCAAACTTGGCTAGTAACTGGTCGTACTTCCAAGAATAGAGAAACACGCTTTTTATCGTTGGTACTGACTTATATTCCACGCAGAACCGTTGAGAACATGGTGGTTAAATAACTTGGCCTGGTTAAATTTAACTCGGATACATTTTGCGTGGAAAATCTCGCAACAATCGCGACACGGAATACCCGCTTTTTCAAGGTTGGTACAGGATCCACGTACTTTTTTAGCTTTGGGCACGCTCATTGAGCGCGCTCATTGAGCGATTATTATCGAACACTAGAATGGCTCACCCTTGATGGTCGACAGTTATTCTCGCGTTTCGGAATTTAGCGCCAAGGTCACAGCGTTCCCTTCGCATTTGTGCGGTTGCAAATGTCCTGTCTGGCGTGCCGGTCGCATGTGTCAGCGCGCCCTTGAAGCAGATCACATTCGGGTTTGACAGAGCTGTTTCGTTGTTAGGCCTCTGAAACGCACAAAGGTGAACTTTTCGTGAGATGTGTAGCTGCTCCATTGAAATGCTGATCGGGTGAAACCAGGCAATGTCTCCGGTGGTAGGATTTACACAGCTTCCGGTGCTTGGATGTTGGTGAAACAGATTCTGAGGTTTACTTTTCCAGGTCCATGTTGGATGCACTGTAGTGTACTCGAAAAAATGGTATAAGGTGGTAGCACTAGTAAAAGCAAGACGAATAAGTGTAGACCTAGTGGTATGACAAACTTCGGCTGAGAAACAACGAAAAAACCACGGGTGCAAAATTGCGCGACGAGCACTCACGTTTCTTCAAGGTTACACCGACAGTGTTCTGTACCTAAAGATTTCTGCCTACCATATCAATGGTTTTCTGCTCACGTGGTTAGAAGATTACCTGCAAGATAAAACCATTAAGGTAAGAATAGCCAGTACTTACTCAGAATGCGTATCCAGTGGTGTACCGCATGGATCCGTCCTCGGCCTGCCACTGTTTTTAGTTTACATAAATGACCTCTGAGTAAAAATCTATCCCCTATGCAAATATTTGCAGATGATGCCAAAATATGGTGAGCAATTCGCTCAGTATCAGACCGTGACTATCTCCGGAACGATCTGCAAAGTGCCACTTGCTGTGGGTGCGTAGCAGCTTAATCAACACATATCTTCTGGGACAGCACATTTTGCAGCAGATGACTAGTGAATGAGACATAGGTATCATCATACAAGAAAGTCCTGGCAATTCGCTTTACTGCTCAAAAACAAGAAATGTGGCGAATTTGAACTTGGGGTGTTGAAACGAATTCGCCGCACCTTTGAGCGACGGCTAGTAGCACTGTTGGTCTACACATATCTTCGTCCCCACGTTGAATATGCGGTTTAGGCCTAACACCCATGGTTAAAGCGTGATATTAGTCTCTTGGAGTGACCCCGAATAAAAGGTACCAAACCAACACGTAGACTATTCTGTCTCAGTTACGAATTGCGCTTTGTTGACTCGGTAAGTTTTCCACAGATTACGGACGGCTTCGCGGGGATCTCGTCCTCACTTACCGGATAATAACTGAAAGCGAGCATCCATGTGCGTCACTGCTGATCCTAGCCTCTTACAAACAGTGCGGAGGTCAAAACTTGAAACTAGTGACGCAACATTCCCATTTGGATTGTAGGAGGCATTTCACTATTTTATAGCTTCTTGCCACCGGAATACACTACCAAAAGATGTGGTGAACGCGCCAAACACAGCTAAGTTCGAGAGACTTCTAGATTTTCATCTTAGTGATAAACACTGCACAGCATTGTGACAAAGTACAATGTGTTTACTAGATGAATCGCGTTCCACTTTGAAACGTTTTGCTTTTAAGTTTCCTCTGCATTTTTCATTTTGTGGATCTTGTGAAGTTATACCTTTTCTTCCATTATACACTATACAACTACTGAACACTATTTACGCGATGCTCCTTTTCAACGCATGTACTAGTTTAGCCCCTCGATGCTCATCGAATCTCTGTAAGTTATGCTCTACTATTCGCAATGTGAGCAACACATCTGCAATCCACTTAGATAGGTTTGTAAGCATTCGGTTACTTATTTGCTGTCGGGAAGACATTCGTCCGCAAATCTCTGGTTTACGAATAAAATTTGCTGCTGGCATGACATCGTCAGAGTTGAAGTGCAAGTGCCAGTATATTTGTCGAATGGTTACTAACGACTGCGAAACCGGCTGTCAAGAGCAGCTTTGCGATCACTCTAAAGCCGAAACTCGGTTGTCTCAGATGCGGTCTTCGTGACTGACCTAGATTCACGTAGAAATAAATCTTTTTCGGACTAGCCGGCTCCCATTAATAAACTTGTATTCCCCAGCTATCCTCGAATGCCTAAAGCTAATGCTGCAGAGAATATTATGCATTAAATGGATGAAAGCTCAAAACTGAACAGCACAATTTTCCCAACTTTTGGTTGAGAAATCGACACCTGTAAGTCTCATTGCTTACCAAAGCGGGATGAACGTGTCCCGCGAGTTTAAACGGTGTGGTTTATCAAATATTAGCTCTGCGTGTATGAGTTACTCACGATAGGTGAGGTGCAGAAACGGAAACGGGTTCAGCTAGCTACTGCCAGGCTCATCTCCCGAGTACGGGATATGTCGTACAAAGACCTTTGCCAGAGACTAGGACTGAACACCTTGCCGTATCATCATTTTTGGATGGACCTCATAAGGTGGCACCAGATATTGCAGCTGGACCACTTCCCTATGCTGAGGCCACTGCTGCACATTCGTGCACCAAGCAGCACACGCGGACACCAATACAAACTAATGGTATCGAATTTAAAGTCCATCGCTCACCCTCTGTGCTTCAAATACCGAGTGGTGAAATATTGGAACAAGTTGCCGGGAAAAATTTAAGAGATTCCTGGACGCCAACTTTACGGAGTACATGAATAGGGAGCGTATTCCAGCCGGATAATAGGTATTTCAGGTGCAGTACGCTGCCACTGTGCAGGCTGAACGACGTGATTGCGTATACCTGCCCGATCTAACTATGATGGAGCAACGCAGATTTGTATCTTCTAGCTCTCTAAGCTCAGGATTCAGGATTCGCGGTTTAGAAGACAAATTCAGTATACAGTTCAACGTTTTGCAACCAGTAGCTAAGCGTACAATAAGACGATAATTGTCACTTGGATCTAGCAGTGCTTCTATCTTGCCTGATAATGGTGACCGAATGCGGAACCGGCCGCAACGCAGAGTGTTGCCAGCCCTCAGCACCTACCACCGATATCATAAAGGCAAGTCAGTGGATGAATGATGTGCCAATGTTAACAAGTTGACAGAGCAATAGCCACAACCGAGAGGTAATTTATGGGCTACTCGGTGTCAAAACTCAAATTGTCAATTCTGTTGGAAAAACACGAATGGAGAAATCCAAGGTTGTTCAGCTTACGGGATTATTGCACATAAGCCGTTATCAGTGATGAGTTGGAATAATGGAGCAATGTAGTAGTGGTTACCAACAAACAACATACCAAACGCTGAACAAGTCCTGTAGGATGGTTATGATGAGAAGTACAGGATAAAAACAGTGTCGATAAAGGAAGGCGCAACACATGCCACTTATCAAAAAGTTTGCAGTAGCACATGGGTGAGTATTCCAGCCTGGATTTTAAGGGGAGTCTCGCACCGTCCCCTGTTTGTTCTGCACTGAGGCCGTCAATACCTGGTCACGTGCCAGATCACTTAGTGTAAATGGGTCAATTTGTCATCAAGGCACTTTTTGACTAACGGTATGGTGGGGGCATTAATTACATGCACTGGGTCGGCCGGTGGCCGTGGTCTGCACATTTGGTTTGCAACCATAAGGTCACCGGTTCGAATCCGCGTAGGGGTGGGAGACCTCGCGGTATACTCATCCCGCGCACGACTGGTGGTGGTCGTGCGGCAGCGAAGCGCCGTTACGGCGTACGGCTGACACATTACTTTTCTATTACATGCGCTGGGAGCGAGGCCCCAGAGTTAGGACACTAAGAGGGTGCTGGAGGACCTACCGTGCGGCTCCATCAACTAGCACCTATGATAGATACCGCGAGGCTAGAAATAGGTGTAAACAACACTTAAGGAAAGCTCGGCTGGTGTACGAAAAGGAATTGGCTGATGGAGCTTCGGAAAATCCGAAGAAGTTCTTCGCTTATGTTAAGAGACGCTGTGGTTCAACTTCGGTAATCCCAACTTTGATGCGGGCCGATGGAACTCGTGCATATGCGGACTCAGATAAGGCTCGTGTACTTAGAGAACAGTATGCAGGGGCTTTTGTATGTGAGGCCGCGTTGGCTAGCGTTGAACTTGTCCCCAGAGTACCTGAGGGTGCTTATTTAGCTGCGTTTACTGTGGTGGAAACGCAAGTCCTTAAACAGCTGCAAGAACTGAACCCTTCCAAAGCAGCTGGACCTGATTCCATTCACCCGAAGCTTCTGCATGAGTTGACGGTGGAACTGAGTGGACCGCTGACGATGGTGTTTCAGAAATCACTTGACAGCTGTACATTACCTTCTGAATGGAAGGAGGCTGTCATCTGTCCTATCTTCGAAAATGGCGACAAGAGTCTGTCAGCTAATTATAGGCCGGTTAGTCTGACTAGCGTCGTAGTCAAACTGCTTGAAATGCTGGTGAGAGATTCGTTGGAATGTCACCTGAATAAATTTAATCTACTCAGTAGTGCACAACATAGATTCCGGAAGGGGTTTTCGTGTTTGACGAATTTGTTGGTTGCTCGTGAAGCTTGGGCCGAGGCAGTGGACAATGGCCACGTGGTGGATGTGCTTTTCGTAGACTTCTCGAAAGCATTTGATAAGGTACCCCACTTGAGGCTATCACAAAAGCTGAGGTCCTACGGCGTATCTGGTTGCGCCCTTCACTGGGTATCTGCGTTCTTGCAGGGAAGAGAGCAGTGTGTACGTGCGGGTCGCAGCTTATCCTTTAAGCAAGCGGTCCTTAGCGGTGTCCCACATGGCTCGGTCCATGGACCGATGCTGTTCTCCATCTACGTAAACGATCTCCCTGGAGAGCTTGGGGTATCATCCCTATTGTTTGCTGATGACCTTAAGCTACGGAACGTTGTAAATGTTCCGGGGGGTTCTGAGGCCATACAGCATGCACTGGACAGACTCTGGGACTGGTCTACTTTGTGGCTACTGCCCATAAAACAGGCTAAGTGTTCCGTCCTTCGTATAGGAGC